CCAACGTCCATTCCACCAGTCAGCAAGCCACCAAATCAGGGCAAGATGAAGAAAGGCAGGGTTGTGGGATCAAGCGGTTTATCCCCACTTCTGAGACCTCCCCCTGTAGAAGAATTCGGTTGGGAAGCCCTTTCCGTTAAAGTTATATCACAGAAGTGGGTTGCAAGCCCTGGCGGCTTGGAGCCAGGATTGCACGCTGATCATCACGGAGGGCGACTCCGCCAAAGCCTTGGCGGTGGCAGGGCTCAGCGTGGTGGGCCGGGATCACTACGGGGTCTTCCCCTTGCGCGGCCACTCGGACGGAAGGAGTGCGTGGATGTAGCTGCTTAGGTTGAGGGACACCCCAGTCACCACCATGAAGTTAGAACCGTGTCAAGTGGCTTGAACGTCCAAGTGGGTTGGTGCGCTCGGAGTATGGGGCCCGGTTGTCAAGAGCACCTTGACACTAGAAGCATGGTTTGTCAAGTTCCAGGCGAGAGCCTAATAGTTGAAGGGCAGCAAGCAGCTCTTATTTCTGTCAATGGGCGTGCGAGGTTACACCGTCAAAACGAGTCTTTCTTGACTAGTGACTTCTGAGCCCTTCTGGCCTTTCCCATTGTCTCTGGACGCACTCACGGTTCTCAAAAACAATGAAGCCCTTTGTTTGCACCGACTTGGCCGCCCAATGCTTTCCATGGTATGTCTCAGTGGAGGCCGCTATTGGGCAGCCAAGAAGCGTCGACACCAACCAAGCTCCCCCGCCCCCCGCCCCAAAACGCGCCAGACATGCCCATGCTCATCAACCCCGATGTCCCCGCCTCATTTCTGAATCTGTTTCCAGCACCTTCCCACGTCTTTTTTACCGGCTCTCTTCCCAAAGCCTTTGGTCCCAGGCAAGCTGCGGAATGTGCGTGAGCTTTCCGCAGCCCGGCTGGATTTGTGCACGACTGGTTTCTCTCCACAGCCCAGTTTGCCATGTCCCTGGAGGTTTGCTGCGACCTGTCGCAGGGGCAACTCTTCAAGTAATGAAGTCCGCGACAGGACCACAGCGAACCGAGCCAGAACTGTCAACGCCTGGAAAGCCCTGAGTTGAGTTTTGAGGACGTCGGCCAGCAGGTGACCGCTTATGTGCGGCATTTGTTCAACCTCTGGCGTTCACGTTTTAGGCAGCGCCACGTTTGCCTGGTCCGCAGCCACATGTAATTTCACGAAGGCAAAGGCTCATAGGACATGCCCAGTGAACAGTACCTTGCACGCGCTGAAATCGAAGGTGCCAAATCCGAGCCAGGTAAAGCAGATGATGGACAACAAGGAGATCGAATCCCTCATGAAGATCATGGCCCTGGATGCCTCTAAGAAGTACCAAGACACCAAAGGCTTGCGCTATGGCTCCTTGATGATCATGACTGACCAGGACCTTCAGCCCCGAAAAACCTGCCCTGGATGGTTCTTGCGGGTCCGATGGGTTCCGAGTCGACGAACCAAATTTCAGGTTGCTAGGAGTGCCCTTAGTACGGTCGCCCGATCAAAAAAAACAACTCCAGCATCGACTCGAGGACACCAAGCGAATGTTGATGGGGCGCTTCAGGCAGCTTCGTGGTTTCGCCTTTTCCTCTTTGAACATGGCAGACGGCATAGCATACGTCGATCCAAGGGACCTCGAAGGAACCAGGAATCATAAAGGGCCCTTATCCTCGGTCACCCTCGGCAAGTCCATAGGTCCCTGTCAAGAAGCATTCTTCCCACCCCAAGAAGTAAACTGCACCAGGGGCGTGTTCCTAAACGTGATGCATCCCCGCAGAGATATCGTCCAGGTGCAACGGCGGCATTCGGCATAAGCGCTTCCCAGCGGCACAAGTTTTCTTTTACCAGGTCCAAGCCTGCCTTACTCCCGGCGAGGATTTCGACGGGTCCCACATCAAGGGCCTGGTCATCAACTTCATCCAGCACTGGTTCCCCGGGCTCCTGCGCTGCGACGGCTTCCTGCGGGAGTTCGTGACGCCCATCGTGAAGGTCGCCAAGGGCTCCGAAGTGCGCACCTTCTTCACCGTCTCGGACGGGAGGGTTTCCGTTTTTTTTTTTCTTCTTCTTTTTTTTGTGTGTTTGGCTGTTGGGATCTGGTGTTCGGGGACATTCGGGCAAGCAGTTGCGGCGCTTTCTTCTTTGTCAGATTGGAAGGTGTGTCTTTCATATTGATGTCCCGATCTTTCAGCGGTCGCTTTTGTTGATTGGCGATTCTCTTTTGGGAAGCTCACAGCGATCGCAAGGCGCAAACCTCGCCCGAAATCCCGCCGAGTTGGGCCGCTACTTGTGGGGCCATGGTTTTTTTAAACGGGGCATGGTGCGCCAAGAAGCATGGTACGCCTCACAGGGAAAGTTCGCTGGTTTTGGCGGAAGCAGGTCCGACGCATCGCGGATGCGGGCAACTTGAGAATTGCATAGACGGTTAGAGTGAGTCTCAAGAACCCGTGTCTTTAAACTGACTGATTTTAGGGGTAATGCATGCCTTGACTTTGAGTTGATTGGCCACATGGAATGTTTACTATGAGCCGCGCCAAAGTTGAGCAACTCTCAACAAATCCAGCTCTTCCGTTGAAAAGGGCAGGCTTTGCAGCAGATCACCGGCAAATCGAGAGCACCAGGAGTATGAGTCCTGGAAGCGTATCAATGGCGATGGCAAGGGGTGGACGGCCAAGTACTACAAGGCACAAACCGCTCCTAGGGGTTGATGTTTGCTGGCAGCTTTTGGCGGTGCCAAAAAGCCGCAGACCTGCCAGTTTTGAGTGTTCAACAAGAGAAATTGTTTGACAGAGTTGTTCTTTTCCGCCAGCCGTTTGAGAACCGTGGGGCAGTGGAGTGATTTGTTCTAGCAAGGAACCCTGGAAAGAACGGGGAAATAAACCCCTGCCATTGGACGCGCAGGACGTTCGGCATGGAACTTGGAGGCGGCTTAGTTGAAAGTTGAACAGGTTGTAGGGGTATTTTGCTCGGTGCTGCTTGGTTCCTGCTCCTAGAGCTACTTGTCTTGCTATCCAATCTATCTATCCTTCCAGGTTAAGTCCAAGAACGACAATGCTTGAGCCATGGGGCAAACAGCTCCGAAATGAAATGGCGGCCATTTTAACCAACCTTCATGGCTCACCTGCTCTCTCTCCTTTTGGGTGAAAACTGAAACCGTCCGCCACTGGGAGGTTTGCTCTTCTGGCGCATGTGAAGAGCCCCCCTCGAAGCACGCATCATCATCCCCAGACAAATGGTCCAGCGTTTGGAAGAGACAACCATCGAACAAAGTCAACCAGCTTCTTTTTCTTCGTTTTTTTCGGGATTGACCAGGCTCCGGCTGATTCCATGTTGCCAGGCTTTCCACCTTCATTGTCCATCCAAAAAACGAGGTTTGGCCCCTCCCGTCTTGGGAGCTGACCTCCCCTCCCGTCAGGGCCTGGGCACGAGTACCTCGGCGGAGGCGCGGGAGTACTTTTCCGACCTCCAGCAGCACGAGTTGACCTTTCTGCCCTCCGACCAGGCGGAAGGGCGGAAGGGCTTCGCGCTTCGCCCGTCGCCGGCCGCCTGCGGGTCGGTGAGAAACCACGCTTGGGTTGACGCTCGGGGTGGAAGGCCGTCCGCGGGGCCCGGGGTGGAAGGCCGTGGGGGCTTGTTGGGTGGTGGTTTGGGTGGTTGTTTGGAGGCGATTTTGTTGGAGGTTGATGGCACCATATACCTTGCTTTCGTGCGGTTGACTTGCGCGGTTTGCGAAGGACGGAGAGCTCATTGACATGGCCTTCAACGCCAAAAGGGCGGATGCGCGGAAGGAGTGGATCTCCAACTGCACCGGAGAAGTGGTGGACCACTCCCAGCCGGTCCTCACCTTGGACGATTTCGTGAACAAGGCGTCGCCGGCCCGCGGACGTGTGGGCATCTCACTGGGCCTTGACTCGGGCAGATAATGCCGTGTGAAAGGCAGCCCCAGACATTCGGCCAGTGTCTGTACAGGGGATGTGGCGATATTCAAATAGATTCAGGCCCACTTTGTTTGTTCTGCGCACAACTTGGCAGACCCGTTGCATGCGAGGCATACTTGCGATTCGCGAACCAATGCTGCAAGTAGTCGAAGCTTTTGGATTCCAATATGGCGTAATAGGCAACATTATGCACAGTATGGTCGTATTTAGTGCTGGACCCCGTGATTTGTTTGTTGTTATCTTCACCATTGGCACTGGAAACTGGCAGTGGGCCTTTGCCGAAGTCGTTGCAAATGAAGGCAGGCTTTCCCTCAGAGCGTGCCGTCTACACACACAAGCACGCACGCATACATCTTGGGGCGCTTGCAAAACTTCCATTCGCTCAAGTGCCCTGGGAAAAGTAAATATGTTTTCAGTAGTAATAGGTCCCATTTAACACCAACAGGGGGAAAACAACAACATCTTAAGCAAATGAAAGAAACACCCAACAAGTCTTGAGGGCGGTCATGCCCATTTTGTTTTTTGACAGAAACCTGTGTCTTGGCTTCAGGAGCTGGTGCTTTGGGCCAAGTACGACGTGGAGCGCGCCATCCCCAGCATGGTGGACGGCCTGAAGCCAGGTCAACGCACCGCGGCAAGCAGAACAAAACACCCAGTACTAAGAGGGATCGGCCAGGTGCTGGTTGCGGTTGCGGTTGCGGTTGCGGTTGTCCTTGTCCTTGTCCTTGTCCTTGTCGTTCTCGTTCTCGTTCTCGTTCTCGTTCTCGTTATCGTTGTTGTTGTTGTTGTTGTTGTTGTTGTTGTTGTTGTTGTTGTTGTTGTTGTTGTTGTTGTTGTTGTTGTTGTTGTGGTCGTCGTCGTCGTCGTCGTCG